CATCATGATACCATAACACTTATAATGACACCATAATAACCATCATGTCATTGTAATGCCACCATGACATCGTAATACCTATCATGATACCATAATACCCATTATGACATCAAGATGCCATTATGACATCATAATACCCATCATGACATCAAGATGCTACTATGACATCATAATACCTATCATGATACCATAGCACCCATTATGACATCATAATAACCATTATGGCATTGTAATGCCACTGTGACATTGTAATACTTATCATGACACCATAATACCCATTATGACATCAAGGTGCCACTATGACATCATAATAGCCATCTTGATACGATAGCACCTATTATGACACCATAACATCCACTATGACATTGTAATGCCACTATGACATCATAATACCCATCACGATACCATAGCAACCATTATTATGTCATGATGCCATCATAAATATTATGACTTCATACTGTCTTTATACCACTATGACATCATAATGCCATTATAACATGTTAATATCCATTATTGCACTAATATAGAATTGATTTGAGGTTTGTTCATGCTTTTTGTCCTACACACCTTGAACTGATGCGCATATGCAGCATGTGTGTTCATCACACTTCACAAGTTCACATTATCTTTGCCAGCGTTTTTTTGTTCGTCCTGTGGCTGTGTTTCTACAGTCTTCATTATCAGGCGCTCGCTGGAGTTGGACTGAACTCCACAGAGACGTATCATGTTCACAGGCATGCTGGGAATGCACAGGAAGTAGAATGCGCTAGCTCTTTGATATGCGAACGATACACTGCTCATGCAAAGGCCACATTCCACCCTCTGTGACACCAGCTGAACTTCAACCCTTAAAGTTAACAGACCCATTCAAAAACACAGCAACTGAGCTTATTTTTGAATACGTCAGATCATAGGACTCTAATCTGAGCTGTGCTGTAATGCATATCTATGATTCCTCATGCTTCCTTATTTCCTTAGTCCCTAGGCTTAGTCCCTTTATTCATCAGGGGTCACCCCAGCAGAATAAACCTGTAACCATTTACTTCTGTAGTAGGAAAAACAAATACTATGGAAGTCATTGGTTACAGCATTGACCAGGCTATCTTACTTAATGTTTAACAAAAGAAAGGAACTAAATGAATTTTGGGACTCTGTATATGAGTTTTCTATGATGATCCTGGAAAAGAAATATCTCAAGACTCCTTTAATATATCTTTTTGGGGTGGTCTTGAATGAGGTATCAGACCCTTTTTTACCAAAAGGATAGGTCTAATATCTTATGTATGTAGGAAATGTATTCTGTTAAACTGGAAACAGGGACTCCCTCCAACATTTGAATTATTTAAAAATATCATAAATGACACGCTGCATTTGGAATATTTAACATATTGCTTAAAAAACAAAACACACATATTTTTAAAAACCTGGAAAGTTTTTATGGACCCTTTATGAACCCTTTGACCTGAGCCTGCATAATACCCATTGTTATCATACTGACCATTCCCATTTGATTTCTGTTTTATCTAGTAACATAAACTGGATTTGTTGATGTACATGTTTCTATATTTGTATACTCTGATGCTACAATTAAGGCTGAATATTCTGTTTGTCAATTGTGTTGTTTGTTATACTGTAAAAAGATAAATAAATAACAAAAAAATAAATAAATAACAAAATAATAAAAATAAACAAAAATAAGAAAGAAACTGGTTTGGAATCGCTCAAGGCAGAGTAAATATTAGGGAATGCAACAATACAATTAGCCCCAGGGTTTAATACATACCCTTTTTTTTAACATGGTTTTCGGTTCTCATGGCTTGACACGTTTTTTTTTTTTTATTCTATAGGCAATATCAACAGTACAAGGTTAAGGAGAAAAATAAAAATAAAAACGATTTATTGCAATACTCATTTTGTTTTACTTAAAAGCCAAGAAAAGTACACTAGTTCCTAGTGTATTGTATAAAAAATGAACACTGAAATCTCACAGCTGCTGGTAGCCCATGTACAAACTGGGGAACACATAAAATCCTACACTTTGAAAATAAACATACATGTGAAGCTAATAAAAATAAATTGGCCATTTCAAATAAACATATTTGTACTCATATTTGTACATAAATAAACCATCTTAATCATCTCGGTGCTGAAAAAATGCGAGACTAAAGTCAGTAGTGCGGATCGAGTGCTTTTATAAGATGACAAAAGTCTGCATCTCCATTCACCGAAAACGGCTGCAAATCTTTAGCAATAAACACCCGCACTGCCTTTGTTATTTTATGTGTCTCTCGGAACCAGTTGGGTATGTTTGCTTGAAAGATTCAGCGAGGGATTGTTGCTATTTGGAGGACTTTATTACCTTCTTTGCTATTCTGCCTTTAGACAGTGATATTGCTGGGTGATGGCGCTGCAGATGTGCAGTTATGGTTATACGTGTAAAACAATGCTTGCACAGTTATTTTTTGTTCACCGGTTTTTTTTGGCATTATACTCATCGGCAAAATCGAAATGTCCTCACACTGCAGATTTAAAAGACGCCGGGGCTTTCTCGTACTGTTGCCTCACTTCGCCAGCGCTTCCTTGTACTGTTGCCTCAGCCTCACTTCACCGCCGCTCTTCATGTTAAAGTGTGGAATGATGGTCGAGCGCCCCCTAACTTTAGAACATAGTGATTGGATATTTACTCGAGGGGAGGAGTTTCCTCATCTCAGCTCATGGACTTACAGGCACACACAGTCAATTCGGGGAGATATAAAACGCACAAATAATGATAACACTTTACAAGAAGGTTCATTAGTTAATGCATTTACTTATATGAACAAATCATGAGTTCATTTAGCATTTATTAATCATAATTGAACATTTACTAATGCATTATTAACATTCAAGTCCATGCTTGTTAACATTAGTTAATGCACCATGAGTTAACATGAACTAACAATGAACAACTGTATTTTCATTAACTAACGTTTACTAACATGAACAAATACAGTAGTAAATGTATTGTTCATTGTTTGTTCATCTTAGTAAATGCATTAATTAACATTAACTAATGAACCTTATTGTAAAGTGTGACCCACATTATTTAAACGCAAAACCAAGAAAACCGCAATTCACGAGCGCGTATTGAACCGTGTAGGTCGTAACGTACGTTTCAATATTATATTGAGAATCATGGCATCCCTAGTAAATAGTGAGGAAATGTACATTTTTGGGTAAACTATCCCTATAAATATGCATTTGTAATTGTGCATTTTATATATAAATCTCACCATTCAGAAGTCGTCATGTTGGTGCTCTCCTGCTTAATGAGAGTCTATGATCATAAATCACGCACTGCCATGTTAATGAGCAAGGAGCTCATAATGTGACTGAATTATTCATAGCCATGATCCTGTACAATGACTCTTGCCTGAAAATCTCTCCTGCTAATATTAAACCTGATATAAGCACAGCTTTGACTATAATGTAGCTGTAGTAAAGTATATTAGGTTGAATAAATATGTAAAGCATTAACTAATAAAAATGTTATATTTATGAATTAATGTGAATGTTTATTCATGAATGTTGATTTTTTTTATTAAAGGGATTGATAAAGTCAGATGTATTTAATCAATTCTGTTTAGTGGTGCTACAAAATCTGAATTATAAAGCATTTCGTTCAAGTCTTTTGTTGCCAGGTTCTTTGTCCTGATGTTTAATAGTGTGTCATGGTGTTCTCTGCAGGTTGGGGCAGAGGGGCAGGTGGATGGACAGTCTGTCACTGAACACTGCAGGAAATTGGTCAGCTTTACATTATCAGGTTAGAAGGTTGATTTTTATCACACTTACACTGATTCAAGCAAATCACTTCTTTATGAAACTGATTTCTATTATATAGGATTATACAATCCCTATGAGTAATTTTAAACATATTTAACCATTCACATGATTTTTACCACAGATGAAGAAGGCAAAATAGTTTTATAGGCAACTTCAGATGGATAATTGCTTTTATGAAAAAGCATAAAAAAATATTCATTTATTCATTTTCTTTTTGGCTTAGTCCCTTTATTAATTTGGGGTCGCCACAGCGGAATGAACCGCCGCATATAAAATATACATTTGTTTATTTATTTATAGTGCAACCCTAATAAAAGTTTGTGCAGCAAGTAATATAAACCATTTGTCTTAAAGGCCACCGAAAATACATAAACACACGTTTAAACAGAGCCGAAAACCCCACAGACCAAAACCATAATTTGATATAGGAAAAAAAGGCTGTGTGATATTGACAAAATTGATTCCTAATCTTATTTAAACAATTATTTGCTCATTATGTTTTGTGCTAATGCTTTGATGGATTTAGGCCTGTCAGAGGTATATATATATATATATATATATATATATATATATATATATATATATATATATATATATATACAGTTGGAGTCAGAATTATTAGCCCTCTATTGATTTGTTTTTTCTTTTTTTAATATTTCCCAAATTATGTTTAACAGAGCAAGGACATTTTTACAGTATGTCTGATAATATTTTTTCTTCTGGAGAAAGTCTTTTTTGTTTTATTTCGGCTAGAATAAAAGCAGTTTTTAATTTTTTAAAAACCAATTTTGGGACAAAATTATTACCCCTTTAAGCTAATTGTTTTTCGATAGTCTACAGAACAAACCATAGATATACAATAACTTGCCTAATTACCCTAACCTGCCTAGTTCACCTTATTAACCTAGTTAAGCCTATAATGTCACTTTAAGCTGTATAGAAGTGTCTTGAAAAATATCTAGTAAAATATTATTTACTGTCATCATAGCAAAGATAAAATAAATCAGTTATTAGAGATGAGTTATTAAAACTATTATGTTTAGAAATGTACTGAAACAATCTTCCCTCCATTAAACAAAAATTAGGGAAGAAAATAAACAGGGGCGCTAATAATTCAGGGGGGCTAATAATTCTGACTTCAACTGTATACATCCACTTAAACCACCAGTATGAGGTGGAGTGATTCATTATTTATTCATTCATCATTCATTCATTTTCTTTTCGGCTTAGTCCCTTTATTAATTCGGGGTCACCACAGCGGAATGAACCGCCAACTTATCCAGCATGTTTTTATGCAGCAGACGCCCTTCCAGCTGCAACCCATCTCTGGGAAAATCATTCATTCAAACAAGTCATTTAATTTAGAAATGAAGCAGGTCACTCTCTTCATCAATGGATCATTGAATCGTTCTCATCAGGTACACAACGTCACAAGATGTTAATATTAGGTTAGATTCAGGTCGTGACATCAGATGACCAAAATTCAATGTCTAGCCAACATCTAAAGACAATGTTATTTTGAGGTCTAACAGGCACGTGCACAGGTAGGCCTTTTTTCCTTAGGATAAAATGTGCTCCTCAAAAATGAACGAAAATGCTCTTCACTTCGCGATCCAACCCCCCCTCCAATGCCACACCCACCCTCCTTCACCCTGCTCTACTGTTCATGATCCAACCCCCCTAGATATTTGGTTGTTATTAGGTTGTTTAAAAGTGACCAAAATCCAACATCAAGTCAACATTTTAAAGCAAGATTACATTAATGTCAAATAATGACATTTACTTGTCAGCTATAGCAACCAAAATCCAACGTCTGATAGACGTCATAGTAATGTCCACATAACATCAAGCTGTAACATCATTAGGCATTGACATTTGGTTGACTTTAGGGTGACGTCAACCTGATACTGGGTTCTGACGATTTTCTTTTCCAAATAAAATGCAACGACCCCACAACATTGGGGTACAATGTCAATCTGACATCATGTTGATGTACTGTGCCTGCTGGGTTTAAATTATACACTGCAAAGCTTTGCACTGTACAATGCACTAATGTTGTATTTTTTTTACTATTTTGTCAGTGTAAAAGTAGCAATATTATCTCTATAATGTAACACTCAGTATTAACTTCTTTGTTGAACTGTTTTATACACTGAAATACAAAATGAATGCTTTTAAATAGTCAAGATGTTGTTGTTTTTTTTGCAAAGTTGGTGTCAACTTGCACAGCAATTATCATATAATAAAATATTGCACACTGCTATTTAGTAGCATTTCATCTACCAGCATTTCTTCCTTTAAGTTCTGCAGATTAATAAAAGTCATACAGATTTTGGAACATCATAGCATTTCATTTTAATTGTTTTTAGGTGGATTTGCTGTTCTTGAAATTGACATTGCTCACTAATTTCATAACCCAAATGAACCTGCATGATGTGTGTTTAGTAAATCTCTTCTATATAAATCTGCCCTCTTGTGGTCATGTGCTGCTAGTGCACCCAGTTAAATATAAACCGATAGGTAGCCATCATGATGCTAGTTTAATTTGTATATGTGCATTTATTGCAGATATCAGGGCTCAGGGTCTGAAGAAGGGCATGTTTTTTAATCCGGACCCGTATCTAAAAATGAGCATCCAACCAGGCAAGAGGAACGGCTTCCCCACGTTCAGCCACCACGGCCAGGAGAGACGAACTTCCATCATATCCAACACCACCAACCCTGTGTGGCACGGAGAGGTAATTGATATTCACTCATGATCCTGGGACGGTTAATGAGGTGTGTTGTTTGTGCTCGGTGTGTCAGAGCTTCACCTCTGCTCTCACTATCCACTGTGAATAACTCTGAAGTTAATGAGGTGTGACCAAATAGGGGTGACTCTGAAACTAGACGCTCTTTAAGTGAGTGAGCTGTACCCTTGAGCAAGGCTTAACCTCAGAAATTAGTGACCCTTTTCACATTTATGGAGTTCTCAGATGTGGTAGTCATCATATTTAAGTAAACTTCTGTCCGACTCTGAGCTTACTATCCTAAGTTAGCAACAGAAATTGAGACTCATCAGACCAGGCAACTCTTTTCCACTCTACTATTGTCCTATTTATTAAAGGAAGAATCCACTTTTTTAGGCTAATTTTACAAGTCACCTTGAGATTTACCATTTTTGAATCGATCCAGCCAATCACGTCTAGCAGGAGCACTTTTAGCTTAGCTTAGCATCATTTGTTGGATCAGATTAGACCATTAGCATCTCGCCTACAAAAAAAAAGAGTTTTGATAATTTAAAACTTGACACTTCTGACATTAAAGGTCCTATGAATGTTTTTTAGATGTTAGTATGAGTATTTTTAGTTTTTAGGATATCTATTAGCTAACACGCACAAAAACTGTGATTATAATTAGTGTTGAAGGGCTCCCCTCAGACTTTGAGATCAGCTGAGTGGATTCAAATATAGTAAAACTCAACTGTTTAACTCTAGGTGCAAAATCTGAGTCGACAAAAAAATGTAAATGATTTTAAATAATTTTTCTATAAAACTTGACACTTCTGTAATTAAGACAAACGGAAAGTGAAAAGTTGCTAATTTCTATGTCAATATAGCCAGGAACTATACTCTCATTCCAATAATCAAGGAGTCAAGCTTTAAATAAGAAAATGATTTAACAGCTTTTTTAGAATATTTTTGAGATGCTAATGGTCTAATCCGATTAAATGATTTATGCTAAGCTAAGCTAAAAGTGCTTCTGCCAGAGCCAGAGATTGGCTGAATGGATTCAAAACAGTAAAACTCAACAGTTTACTTCTAGGTGCAAAATCTGAATGCAAATCAAAATATGATTTCTATAAAACTTGACACTTTTATAATTAAAACAGACGGATAGTCAAAAATGGCTATTTTCTAGATCAATGAAGCCAGGAACTATATTCTCATCCCAGTGCAATAATCAAAAAAAGTTTTGTTGAGATTTTTGAGCGAGATGCTAATGGTCTAATCTAATTCAATGATTTATGCTAAGCTAAGCTAAAACAAATGTTTTTTAAAGAGGTTTGAGAATTGTCCTAATAACAACTCAACACTTCTGTAATTACATCATGTACAAAGACAGATGGAATAGAAACAGTTGTTAAATTCTTGGAAGATAATGCCAGGAACTAAACTCTCATTCCAGTGCAATAATCAGGAATCAATTTATAAGTAGGAAAATTATTTTTTTTTTAAATTGTTGAAATTTTTGAGTGAGATGCTAATGGTCTAATCCAATTTAAAGATTTATAATAAGCTAAGCTAAAAGTGCTTCTGTCAGACCCAGAGATCGACTAAAAAGATTAAACAATGGAAAAACTAAACTGTTTAACTCTGGGTGCAAAATCAAATTTCGAGTAAGAGTCTGAATTTTCTTATACAAGTTGACACTTCTGTAAAATAAGACAGATGGACTGTCAAAAATTGCTAATTTCTACGTCGATATAGCCAGGAATTATACTCCCAATCCAATGCTATAATCAAGCAGTCAAGCCTTAAATAGAAAAATTATCAAAATTATTTTTTTTTTATCTTTGAGTGAGATGCTAATGGTCTAATCCGATTCAATGATTTATGCTAAGCTAAGCTAAAAGTAAAATCTTCTAGAGACATGGAGATCAGCTGAATGAATTCAAAAATGGTAAAACTCAACTGTTTGACTCTAGGTAAGTTATAAAAGGAGAGTATTTATAAAACAAAGGAAGTGTTGCTTTTAGGTTTATGTCAAATGTAGCCTCAGGTTTTTGTTTTTAGCTGGCAGGAGTGTCACATATGTCTTCCCCTTCATAGAAGCATAACTGTATTTCACCAATATACATTTTTATTTCCCCTTTGCAGAAGTACACTTTTGTTGCACTGATGACAGACGTTTTGGAAATCGAGGTCAAGGACAAATTTGCAAAAAGTCGCCCGATCATCAAACGCTTTTTAGGTCAGCTGATAATCCCGGTGCAGAGACTGCTGGAGAGACACACAGCCGGGTCAGTATTTGCTATTAAATATGTATCTGCAAGAATCTATTATGTATGAGACTCCATTAACGAAAGAGTTATAACCTCCGCCAGGCAACCTGAAGTTCATTTCTTTCCAATGAAGTAAAAACAATTGTAAAAATAAAAGCATAAACAAAAAAGACTTCATTTTTGAAAGTTATTTTTACATGTTGTATTTAATCATATGTTATGCAATCAAGAACACATCTGAGTAGTTGTGTATAAATGTGTTTGTTTCTACAGTGCTCATAAAGTTTAGTGATCTACTTTTTTCTGTGATTGTATTTGGAATAAAGGGATCAACATGTGAGCTACACACTTTGTCGTCGACTACCAACAGAACATGTGAGCGGACAACTTCACTTCCGAGTGGAGATCACCTTCAACGGGCATGAAGGTAAAAATTACAGTGTGATTATTAATACAGGCCCATAGCCAGCCTTGTGAAAGGAGTGGTTCTTTTTCACAAAAAGTGGACATTTTTGCACTTATACGCCTCGTTTTCTATTTAACAATGAAGTTTTAAATACTTCATTTGAAGCACTATTTTAGCTGTATTAGCGTATTGGATGGTCATTTTAACAACGCTTTTTGATGTACCAAAATATTTCCTAAAAACTTAGAATAAAGAAATATGGATAAAATCATATATCATTAGAAAACAAATAGGAATCTGTTAAAGTTTTAATTAAAAACTGTAACCTATTGTCATTTATTAGGCAAATACAAAACTCTTATGGCCCAAAACTCATAACTCAAAACTGGCTCGAATAATAACAGCATCAAGGTTTGAGCCGAACATGTGAAAGGACACAGAAGCTTGAATAAAAAAATTGACGTCCTGTCAATAAAGCTTTAATTTCCACAATTCGAACATTTCCAAAAGAGACAACAAAACATTAACAAAAAACATGAAGACAGGTAGGGTAGCTAAAAAAACAGGTCCATGACTAAAACTGTTTTTAAATGGACAAATCTTACCTACTACTCCCGCGAAAGGAATAAAAAACAGGTGAGTCTTCCGGGCCGCTGCTTTCCTTCGCTAAACAAAATAAATACCAAAATGTGACTATGAAAAATAATCCACTACCTGCTACGAAAAATACAAAGTATCAAAATAAACAAACCAGATAAGACATCAAGAAACTAAAGAATCCAAAAGTTAACTGGAACAAAACACTGAAGAGAGCGGCATGTAGAAGGATCCTGGTATGCAGAGCACCGCCAGCCAGACCGCCTGAGCGCAAGCCACCACCGAGCTGAGAGAGGGAAAGAGAGAGAGCCGCCATTGCTGTGTCAGCTTTATATACAGGGAATCCCCAGTGACGTCACGGGCGTCATCCAATCCTGGACAAGCCGTGTGAAAAACTCCACCCACAACTCAGGCGCAACAAGCACATACCCGCAACAAATAAATAAATGAATTAAATAAAACACAGACCCGCATAACACAAACATTAAACTGTCCTCAGTCAGAATTTGGCCATTTGAATAAAAAAGAATTAAAACATAATAATAACAATAATAATAATAATAATAACAACAACAATAACAATAATAATACAAATAATAAAAATAATAACAATAATAATAACAATAATATCAAAAATAACAATAATAATAATAATAATAAATGATAACAACAGCAACTATAATAATAATTATAACAACAACAATGATAATAATAATAATGATAATAATAATAATAATAAAAATAACAACAACAATAATAATAATAATAATAACAACAGCAATAACAATAATAATAATAATAATAATAACAGCAATAACAATAATAATAATAATAATAATAACAATAATAAAAAATAAAATAATAATAATAATAATAAAATAATAACAATAATAAAAAATAAAATAATAACAATAATAATAATAATAATAATAATAATAATACTAGTGTAAAGATTCATAATTTTTCTTGTAAAGAAAGTACATTAAAAATCATGGATAACAACATTAGCCAGATTAGTATTGAAATTAATTGTAATATGGGCCTCTATTTAAAAACAAAACAGTTGCGAAAGATGACTTCACTTGGTCTTAAAGCTTTTTTTGATGGGTTTTTTCCAAAAATGTATGATGGCATAGCAGACAAAATAGGATAAATGAGCTCATGTATGGGATAAATTCTGGACCTTTGTCAGTGAGGGGTTTGTGTTTTAAACCACCAGAACCCCCTGGCTACGGCATTGTAATACATACACAACATAGGAGCACTTTATATAGCATTTCTGGAGATCACGAATTATGTAGCCAGAAGTACGTATGGCTGCATTTCGTCTTTAAAAGAGCACTATGGGGCGGTATGACACCGTTTCTTTTTGCACTAACCAGCTGACCGCTTACCTCCCACTGTTACCAGTTTGTCCAGTTAGCTCGTCATGTACGTTGGTGAACTTAAAACGGAGAGAGGAGTTGACCATGACGACAGGGTTTAAGTCCAAACAGAATCCAAAAAAAAAAAAAAATTAAACAAGTAAATAACAGTGATAATGTGGTAAAATCTGAAAACGTGGTAAAAATCAGGCGAGGGCTTTTCTTTGTCAGTTGGGTTTAGGGAAGTTGGTTTGACGGGTCAATCAGTGCCTTTAAAAACACTATTGGTTTGGTTTAGGGAAGGAAGAGTGTGCGTCAGTTGATCGGTCAGTCACTTGGTCAGTCAGTCAGTCAGTCAGTCAGTCAGTCGACAGTGGCCTCTGGTGGATTTACACAAGAACAGCAGGCACAAATGACAGTCGCGAGGTAAATTTGAGATCTGAAAAAGCATACACCGCCCTCTGGTGGATTTGCTGAAACAAAAACTTATTTGTTGACATATTTAGTGCTCTCCAGAAATGTACATAGCGGTACATTTTCAGAATGAGCCTGGGTTGTACATACAATATCACTAAAAAGTTTGGGGATTACGCTAGCAAAGTAAACATTGTACATTTTGATTTCACACAAACTCTAAATATGCTTTTGCAGATGCCATGGGGTCTCTGCTGGGAGCCTCCGCTATGAATGGAGATCCTGGGAGCCCATCGGACGACGAAGACGTTCTTCAACCTGTGTCCCGCATGGTCAGGGGCCCGTCGCCCACAGGCTCTGAAGGGTCTCTGCATGGTGATGCTTTTAGGCCTGATGAGTGCATGATGGACCCTGAAGAGGATCGGCTCTTGAGAGACGGAGCCCCAGATCTGGCTGAAGGGGCCCCGGCTCATACTCATCGCCAGTCCTCGCTTAATGACTACCTGGATGCCATTGAGGCCCCCAAGCCCCCTGGGGACAGACCGCTCGGGGCCTCCTCTCCTAAACTACGCTCAAGTTTCCCCACCGACACGCGGCTCAATGCAATGTTACATATAGACTCTGATGAAGACGAGGAAGGACACGCCTCCCGGGACACTGCATTGACCAATGGAATGCCGCGGCCTGAAGGACACGCCTCCTCTGAAAGAGGCAAAGGGGAGGTGCATGTGAAGAACAGGGAAAGGCTTGAGTCAGAAGCGGCGAGCAGTGCTACAGATACTGAAGCCACAGCATCAGTGTCCAGCAGTGGCACCACCAAGAGCCAAAATGGCGGAGGTGCTGAAGGCGGTCAGGAAGGAGCAGCTATTTCTGGAGGCTTGACCCAAAGCATCAGCAGCTTTCAGCAGCCAGCTCTTCGAATACAGGTCAGAAGATTTTAAAGTTAAATAGATTGGTTAAAATTTATTACAATTATTTTAAACATGAAACCTTTCCTTTTAATTAATATTACTACTGCTAAGAGTTGTAGTAAAAAGTAATCTATATTTATTTATCTACAATATATACACAAGAGTGTGACTTTGGTTTGAGAAGTGATGGGGGTCACAAAATTATGGAAAATGTTTGTGATTTAAATCCTTTTTCCAGCATTTACACATATTTAGGGGATATGGTGATACAAAATCCATGGAAAACTACTAATACTAATATTTTATACCATAAATATATATATATATATATATATATATATATATATATATATATATAAAAAACATTTGATTTATTTGTAATTTAATTTTTTTAATTATTTGTAAATTAGCGCATTTTTTATGCATAAAATACCAAAAAAGACAGGCGTTATGTATGTTTTTATAAATTTGTAGACAGCACTATACCAATGTTTTACTTACATAATTTACATAAGTATTTGGTTAAATTACCCTGGCTTTTCAATTACAACAAATTACAAAAACACCGAGAATACTGAAGTTAATTATTATTTTTGTCCATATAGCTATAAAAATTTGTTTGAATGATAGTTGTATAAATTTTGCATTTATTTATTAGAATACATGTCTAAAACTAAATGTAAATGTCAATGTAAAAATATTAAAATATCTTGTAGAGTTTATGTAAAATAAAACAAATAATAATAATAAACAATAGTATTAATATTAATCATTATTATTATTAATAATATTATTTATTATTATTATTATTATATATTTTATTTTAAACAAACTCTATAAGATGTTTCAATATTTTTAGACATGTATTCTAATAAATAAATGCTTTTTCAAATTTTCAAATAAAAGCTTTTTTAAAATGTCAATATTTATTATTGTTGTTGATCAATTATTATTATTATTATTATTGTTATAAATTGTATTTATTATTAGTATACATTTTTATCTTAAACTCTATAAGATATTTAAATATGTATTATTATTATTGTTGTTATTATTATTTATTATATTATTATTTATTATTATTATATTTTAACTAATACCTTTCTCTAGGATGAGGAAGGAGCTGCTCCCCAGGCATCCTCCAGGACTGAAGGATCATCAGAGGCTCCTGCAGTCTCAGAGGCCTCAGCGTCTGCCATTTATACAGTGAATGAAGTGGGCGGAGCCACAGCCACAAATCAGCCAGAACGTATGAACTCCAGTGAGATGACCAATCAGGAAGAGGAGGATGAAGAAATCTGGCAGAGGAGGCGGAGTCTGCAGGCATCAGGGAACGAATCACAGGCTGAAGCGATGGAATTAGGCAATGAAGTGAGGAGAACGGCAGATGAAGCGCAGGCTGCTTTGATAACAGATGGAGAGACAGGTGTGATCAGACTTGGTGTTTATAAAGTAGTTTAGAGAAACTCAAGCTTTCATCTGCTATCCTGACAGTTTGAACCTTTCTTCACATAAAGTTATATATTTTTAACCATAATTCTTTTTATTGTCATTAATTCATTCATTTACCTTCGGCTTAGTCCCTTTATTCATCAGGGGTTGCCACAATGGAATGAACCACCAATTTATCCAGCATTTACTTCTGGGGATAACCTTATTTGTTTTATTTAGGCTAGAATAATAGCAGTTTTAAATATTTTAAAACAATTTTAAGGTAAATTTTATTAGCAGCATTTACTACAATATTTTTTCTTCTGAAAAAAAATATTAATTCACACTCATTTTCATATAATTTTCAAAAGTCAATATAATTAGAATTGTTTTAGTGTTTGTATCTTATAAATAATAGATATAGTACTATAAAGACTATCTTATACTATCATATAGGGCCCTGTCATACACCTGGCATAATGCAGCGCAAGGCGTGACCAATTGTTGTTTGCTAGTTTCAGCTTGGTGCAAGAGTCGTTTTGATGTTTTGCACCACGCTGTTCAAATAGCAAATGCATTTGCGCTCATATGTGAACCCATAGGCATTCTGGTCTAAAAAAGGAGGCGTATTGCTAGCGCATTGCTATTTTGAGGATCTAAAATAGACCGCACAATAGACCAGAACAAAACTGGTCTAAAGTCCAGCGCAGAGCACGTTAGTTGTGCGCCTCGCTTAAACATTGTTTAATACACACAGGATGTACAGCAATACCCAAATATCTTTGTGGATGAAAAAGAATTAAAGGAATTAAATATTACAATAAATAGTATTTTCTAGCCTACATAAATTTAAAAACATGACAATTTAATTTTGTATAATGTTATTATTATTATTAGCTGTATTATTTATTATATGCATATTTATATTTGTTTTATTAAAAACAAGCTTGGATTTGTCCACCTGTCAGGTTTTAGACCATATGGGGCACAACATGTGTATTTGGATATAACTCAGTTGTTTGACCACATGTTGTTATTATTGTTCATTTATTCGTTTGCTGGGAATTAGAACTGAATTTAGAAATAGTTTGAAACTAATCTTTGCACTTAACAAACAAAATTAATTATGTAGGCTATTGGATGTCTGTGAGTACAACACGTTTCGTTATCCACGAGAGTGAAAGTGAAAGTAAAGAATGAGGAGGCTCATCTCTCATTCTCGCGCTGCAGATGGTCTGTTTAACTGTTTTCTCAATAGTGAAATGCTCAGTTTTTCCACTTACAAAGTCCGTCATGTAAATAGCAAATGCACTGTGGCGTGACACAGCTGACTCTTAAGCAGGTCGTACACCAGAAGCACCATGCATTTTAGAATTCTAAACATAGGTTTCTATCAGGATACACACACCGGCACTGCAAGTCGGCGGCGCCCGGCCACGGCTCAGGACGCAGTTCATTTTTCAGCCGCGCCACAGAGCGCCATCTGATTAGTTTCATGTTAAATATCATTCGAATGTGCGCGTCTGGTGTGTGATACTTTAAACTGTCATGTGCGCACCGAGCGGCGCTTTTGGTGTGCGACCTGCTTTAAAGGGAATGTGAGATGAGACTCTGATTGGTTTATTCTCAAAACTCTCAAAAAGAGAATAAGCTCAACCCTGTTAGACCATGTGCCACAGCGCAAACTCTCCTTAAAATAACAAAAGTGGATTCTGACACGCCGTTAATGCTTTTGCGCCCTGGACTTTGCGCCTGGATCATCAAAACAGAGCCCATAGTATCCTATAGTATTTATATTGTATAAATATATTCGTCTTTAGTCAGATCTTATATAATATTCAGTATAAATTCAGACTTTTGAATTTCTTGACTCACACCAAATTGTTGCAACCTCCTAATGAGATATAATCGCTCATTTGTATGCTAATATGATATGCATCAGCAAATGTTGAACTATGATTAATAAATGCTGTTTAAGTTTTGTTCATAATTAGTTCATGTTAGTAAATATATCAACTAATGAAACTTTATTGTAAAGTTTAACCATTATTTTTCTAGGCGCTTGTGCTCAAGTGAACGGCCACCAGCCGATGCGCTCTCTTCCTTCAGTTCGGCACGACATCAGCCGCTATCAGAGAGTGGACGAGCCTCTTCCTCCAAGTGAGACCTTATTTCTGTTTTTGTGTGAGATTCATTAAAGAGAATAGTCTTAAAGAGAAGAGTTAATATTTTCCATAGTCTGTATCTGGTATTTTGTTGATCTGGATCTGTACCTAAACATGGATGTTTCAGACTGGGAGGCTCGTATTGACAGCCATGGCAGGATTTTCTACGTGGATCATGTGAACCGAACCACGACCTGGCAGCGTCCCACGGCTCCACCTGCACCTCAGGTCCTGCAGAGATCAAACTCCATTCAGCAGATGGAGCAGCTCAACCGCAGGTCAGTCAAACAGCTCTCAGGTTAGTCAGGACGGCGCGATAAGAGTCACTTGTCAAAGCACACACTGACCTTAACGTCAGGTTTCATGGGATTTGTATGAGTGCGAAATGTCACTTGGTAATCCTCGGTTGTATGGAAAAACAGCTCTTTAAAAATGTCAACCAGCAGCTGGCGCAGCAAGCTAATCTGTTCTGCCATTATCAAAACATTTCTCACGCTCTGTCAGCCTCGGATTTTAATTTACTGAGCTTTATTGGCACACATTTGTGTGCAGGGTTTAAACATTTCACCAAGAATAAAATATTGGTAAAAACCGCACAATAATGTTTATGTTGGATTTTTAAACTAGGTATTTTTAATTCCTTAAACTTTGCAGCTGTAAAAAATAAGTTAAAAATATTATGCAAAATATAATGCAAAGTATAGCTTCATGGGTGGTAGGCCTGTAAATTAGCATTAGCAAAAACTATTTGCATTTATAATTAATTTACAATTTTTTTCAGGATATAATTTAATTTTATAATAGATGTAAAAAAAGTATTGTGATTAGTATTAATAATATTAAAATACTCTAATAATAGAGTATAAGTATAAGAATGCATTTTAAGAAAAAAATATATATATATAAAATAATGAAATAAAATATAAAACAACAGAAACAATTACAGCGTGAAAAATAAATGTTCCATAAATTTTTTTTTTAAATTATTTTTATTTTTTATTGTTTATTTGTAAATAAACTTTTTAAATTCAATGTCTTAGTAGAAAATATAAGAAATCTAAGAATTATAAGTAATGTATTACAATAAATATTTTGAAATATACAGTTGAAGTCAGAATTATTAGCCTCCCTATGAATTAGTTTTTTATAAATATTTTCCAAATGATGTTTAACAGAGCAAGGAAATTCTCACAGTATGTCTGATAATATTTTGTCTTTTTGAGAAAGTCTTATTTGTTTTATTTCGGCTAGAATAAAAGCAGTTTTTAATTTTTTTAAAATCCATTTTAAAGTAAAAACTTTTAGCCCCTTTAAGCTATATTTTTATTCAATAGTCTACAGAACAAACAATAACTTGCATTGCATTATACAATAACTTGCCTAATTACCCTAACCTGCCTAGTTACCCTAATTAACCCAGTTAAGCCTTTAGATGTCACTTTAAGCTGTATAGAAGTGTCCTGAACAATATTTACTCCAATATTATTTACTGTCATCATGGCAAAGATAAAATAAAACAGTTATAAGAAATTAGTTATTTTAACTATTATGTTTAGAAAGAATCTGCTCTCCGTTAAACAGAAATTGAGGAAAAAATAAACAGGGGGCTAATAATTCAGGGGGGCTAATAATTCTGACTTCTACAGTATATATATACACATAGTGGGGGAAATAAGTACTGAATATGTCACCATATTTCTAAAGGTGCCATTGATTTGAAATTTTTACCAATTGATAACAACCAAATAAATCTATTTATGCAAAGAAAACAAATCTAATTAGTTTACAAATTAAGTTATGTGTAATAAAATAAAGTGACGCAGGGTAAAAATATTTTGAACACATGAAGAAAGGAAGGTGTAATAAGGCAGTGAAAGCCCAGACAGCAGCTGAAATCTCTCAGTAGTAAGATTTTTATACATTGTTGAAGTCTATGAAAAAATAAATGACAGTAATAACATAGCTTAATTATGAAGGATACAATGCAAAATCTAAATAAACCTTTTTGTTTATTCAGGTATCAGAGTATCCGGAGAACAATAACCAATGAGAGGACAGAAGAACAGGCCGCAGAGATGCCACCAGACGACCTGACAACATCTGACCTGCTGCATCACTCCATACCTGGTAGAAACACATGATCCACACACATGCACTGCAGCCCCAGTTGAATTTTTATCCCTCCTGAATTATGAGCCCCCCATATATATTTGTTCTCATTTTCTGTTTAACAGAAAGATTTATTTCAACCCATTTCTTGACATAATAGTTTTAATAACTCATTTCTAATCACTGATTTATTTTATCTTTGCCGTGATGACAGCACATAATATTATACTAGATATTTTTCAAGATACTAGTATTCAGCTTAACATTTAAAGGCTTAACTAGGCTAATTAGGCAGGTTAGGGTAATTAGGCAAGTCATTGCATAATGTCGATTTGTTCTGTTGACAAACGAAAACAACTGTAGCTTAAGGGGGCTAATAATATTGACCTTAGAACGGGTTGAAAACTGCCTTTATTCTAGCTGAAATAAAACAAATAAGACTTTCTCCAGAAGAAAAAACATTAAAGGAAATACTGTGAATAATTCTCTGCACTGTTAAACATAATTTAGGAAATTTTTGGGGAAAAAAAGCAAAAATAAAACAGGAGGGTGAACAATTTTGACTTCAACCGAATTAGAGCTTGTTATTTAGATGTTCTGTTTGGACTCACCTGAGTCTGTGCTGTCCTCTCTTTCAGAGTACCGGCGGGACGGTGTTGTTGGACCCGCCAGCTCTCGTTCCCGCCTGACTCTGCTGCTTCAGTCCCCCAGCGCCAAATTTCTCACCAGCCCGGATTTCTTCACCGTACTGCATTCCAACCCTGTTAGTCTCCAAACACATTAATTATTCACACTTTTTTTTTTTTACCCACAAGCCAGTTTCAGGTCCCTTGTAGAGAAACTGTGGTAAACCATGCCATGCAGTGTGTTTCTCTTTAAACAAGTCATCTGCTGATTTCATTAGTTTTGGAGGAACGTTACACACATGATGAACCAAAAAATTGATGCCGAGGAAGAACTTGTTTTAATATTTTAGTAAAAAGTTTGGTTGGACTTAAAAATAAAGGCCCAGTAGTTATGTTGTTAGTTAATACTAAAAGGTGACACGGTGGCTCAGTGGTTAGCACGGTTGCCTCACAGCAAGAAGGTCGCTGGTTCGAGTCCCGGCTGGGCCAGTTGTCATTTCTGTCTGGAGTTTGCATGTTTTCCCCATGTTGGCATGGGTTTCCTCCGGGTACTCTGGTTTCCCCTACAGTCCAAAGACATGCGCTATAGGTGAATTGAGTAAACTAAATTGGCTGGAGTGTATGAGTGTGTGAATGCGAGGGTGTATGGGTTTTTCCCTGTGCTGGGTTGTGACTGGAAGGGCATTTGCTGCGTAAAGCATATGCTGGAATAGTTGGAGGTTCATTCCGCTGTGACACTGATAAATAAGGGACTAAGCCGAAGGAAAATGAATGAACAACTAAAAGTATACTGAAAAGAGTGCCTGCAGTGACTCCCTTTATTTTTTAAAAAGTATATGTTGCTGAAACATTTGTTTTCGAAGGCAACTAAAGCCTGATTTATACTTTTAACTGGCACAACGTCGCAGACCTCCGCTGACTTTGCGTGCACCTCACGAAACGGACGAGGCTTTGATACTTGATGAGTTCACTGTTGTGAAATTCTTTAAAATGACAGGGGTCGATTAAAAAAAAAAACTGACCGGATCAGCAAGATATCATTGATATCATTCAAGATTTTTAAACTAATTGTTTTTATCATTCATTCATTCATTCATTCATTCATTCATTTTCTTGTCGGCTTAGCCCCCTTATTAATCCAGGGTCGCCACAGCGGAATGAACCACCAACTTATCCAGCACATTTTTATGCAGTGGATGCCCTTCCAGCCTCAACCCATTTCTGGGAAACATCAACACACACTCATTCACATACTCCTACACTACGGACAATTTAGCCTACCCGATTCACCTGTGGCGCATTTCTTTGGGGTAAACCGGAGCACCTGGAGAAAACCCATGCGAACATGCAAACATGCAAACTCAAGTCAACTGATCCAGCCGAGGCTCGACCCAGCGACCTTCTTGCTGTGAGGCGACAGCACTACCTACTGCGCCACTGCTTCACCCCAAAGTGATTCATTCATTCATTTTCTTGTCGGCTTAGTCCCTTTATTAATCCGGGGTCGCCACAGCGGAATGAACCGCCAACTTATCCAGCATGTTTTTACACAGTGGATGCCCTTCCAGCCGCAAACCATTTCCGGGAAACATCCACACACACTTATACACACACACACACCTACACTACGGACAATTTAGCCTACCCAATTCACCTATACTGCATGTCTTTGGGGGAAATCGGAGCACCCGGAGGAAACCCACGTGAACGCAGGGAGAACATGCAAACTCAAGTCAACTGAGCCAGCCGAGGCTCGAACCAGCGACCCAGCAACCTTCTTGCTGTGAGGCGACAACACTACCTACTGCGTCACCTCAAAGTGATTCATATTCAACTCAAAGCGCCTCTCGCGCTCAAGCGAACTAGCGGACGTGTTGGGTATAATCCAGGCTTAAAGCATTGCAGTATGAGAAACTCTTGATTTGAAAAGCATTGAAGTAGTGGGTTGAGCATTGGGCTAACAGCTCACCTCATAAAAACTAGATGTTACAAAACACCTATATAGTGTGGCTAAATATTAACTTTGATATAAATGGCCATTTTTTTGATAAAAGTCATTTTAATCTACAGATACAAACTGCTAAAATGCGACAAAAGAAACATTCATTAGTGTATTTTGGAGCTTTTATTTGCATTTGCATTACTGAAAAAGTGCCAGCCTTTTTTTTCTTTAAGTGTATACTGCTGAAACATGTTTTTAGGAGGCAACTAAACCACTGCAGTATGAAAACCCCTTGACTGATTGTGTTCTCCTTCTCAGAGTGCCTACCGCATGTTTACAAGTAACACGTGTCTGAAACACATGATCAGTAAAGTGCGACGGGACGCGCATCACTTCGAGCGCTACCAACACAACCGAGACCTGGTTGCCTTCCTCAACATGTTCGCCAATAAACAGCTGGATCTGCCGCGGGGCTGGGAAATGAAACACGACCATACGGGAAAGGTCTGTAAACAGCTCCTCTGCATATTCATTTCTCTTCTCTCACTCTCTCCATTCTTTCATCTTGACGTAGACAAATGCTAAATGAAATATGATGTGTTAGTAATATTATACATGCATTAGGTGTCACTTTTATTCAGTTTAATGCGGTTTTCCTTAATCTAATTTCTTTGGAAAAAAGTTATTATACTCACCGCCAAACTTTTGAATAGAAATAGCAAATGTTCTGTATAAGATACAAACAATAAGGATTACCTATAAAAAAAAGGAAAAATAACAGCTATTAAAATGCATTATTGTGTTGTTTAATTTGTTTTGTCTATTAAGAAGTCTGAATATATACTATACACTCACCGGCCACTTTATTAGGTACACCTTTCTAACTGCGCTTTAACAGAAATATCTAATCAGCCAATCACATGGCAGCAACTCAGTGCATTTAGGCATGTAGACATGGTCGAGACGATCTGCTGCTGTTCAAACCGAGCATCAGAATGGGGAAGAAAGGTGATTTAAGTGACTTTAAATGTGGCATGGTTGTTGGTGCCAGACGGGCTGGTCTGAGTATTTCAGAAACTGTGGATCTTCTGGGATTTTTACGCACCACCATCTATAGGGTTTACAAAAAATAGTCTGAAAAAGAGGAAATATCCAGGGAGAGGTAGCTCTGCGGGCACAAATGCCCTGTTGATGCCAGATGTCAGAGGAGAATGGCCAGACTGGTTCCAGCTGATAGAAAGGCAACAGTAACTCAAATAACCACCGAGGTCTGCAGAAGAGCATCTCTGAACACACAACACGTCCAACCTTGAGGCAGATGTGCTACAGCAGCAGAAGACCACACCGGGTGCCTCTTCTGTCAGCTAAGAACAGGAAACTGAGGCTACATTTGGGACAAGTTGACCAAAATTGGACAATAGAAGATTGGAAAAACATTGAATCTTGATTTCTGCTGCGACATTTGGATGGTAGGGTCAGGATTTGGCATCAACAACATGAAAGCATGGATCCATCCTGCCTTGTATCAACGGTTCAGGCTGGTGGAGGTGGTGTAATGGTGTGGGGGATATTTTCTTGGCACACTTTGGGCCCATTAGTACCAATTGAGCATCGTGTCAACGTCACAGTCTACCCGAGTATTGTTGCTGACCATGTTCATCCCTTTATGACCACAGTGTACCCATCTTCTGATGGCAACTTCCAGCAGGATAACACACCATGTCATAAAGCATGAATCTCAGACTGATTTCTTGAACATGACAATGAGTTCACTGTACTCAAATGGCCTCCACAGTCACCAGTTCTCTATCCTATAAAGCACCTTTGGGATGTGGTGGAACAAGCGATTCACATCATGGATGGGCAGCCAACAAATCTCTGCAACAACTGCGTAATGCTCTCATGTCAATATGAATCAAAATTTCTGAGGAATATTTCCAGTACCTTGTTGAATCTATGCCAGAAAGGATTGAGGCAGTTCTGAAGGCAAAAAGGAGTCCAACCCGGTACTCGTAAGCTGTACCTAATAAAGTGGCCAGTGAGTGTATATTATTTAAGATCTGACTAAAGATGAATATATTTATACAATATAAATACTATAAGATAGTAGTTATAGCACTATATTTAGTATTTATAAGATATAAATACTAAATAATTTCTTAAGGACACTAATTATATTGACTTTTGAAAATTAGAGAGTGAAATAACATTTTTTTTTTCTTGAGGAAAAAATATTGTTGCAGATACTGCTAAAAAAATTGCCCTTAAAATGGTTAAATTTTTTTTTTAAACTGCTTTTATTCTAGCTGAAATAAAACAAATAAGACTTTCTTCAGAAGAAAAAAATTATATAGGATATACTGTGAAAAATTCCTTGCTATGTTAAACATCATTTGGGAAAAGAAAAAAAAAATTCAAGGGCTGATAATTTTGACTCTACCATATATATATATATACACACATATATTCAGATTAAATTTATCAGTAGCTTGTTGTCAGTTACAACATTTAATCATATTGATGTGCCAGGAAGAGCTTTACAGTAAAATGCTTTTAATGGAAACCTGACATGAAAGCAGTCGCTACCACAAATGAATGTTTCAATATGCTTTGAAAGAACAACCGTAACACACACTGTAAATATTTCATGCGATTTTACCATGTAAAATCATGTAAGTGCTTCAACATGAGCTTTACGTTTGTACTTTTAAACCTCAGACCTGCTTACTTGGCGGTAAAGCTTGACATGATGTTGTTTCCCCTTCAGCCTTTCTTCGTGGATCACAACTGCAGGGCGACCACATTCATCGACCCACGGCTGCCGCTGCAGAGCGCCCGTCCCAGCAGCCTTCTCGCCCACCGCCAGCATCTGAGCCGCCAGCGCAGCCACAGCGCAGGAGAGGTGAGCTAACCACACCCACCACAGGCTCCTCCAATCACAAACCCCTGTAAATACTGATGTACATGTGATTTTTTTCAGCTTTTTTATTTTGAATAAATTTGCAACAATTTCAAAAACTTTTTTTCACATCGTCATTATGGTGTGTAGAGTTTTGAGGAAATAAATGAATTAAATCCATTTTGGAATAATGCTGTAACTAGGGCTGGGCAATTTTTTTTCGATTTTTTTCGATTAATTCTAATTTACGTTTTGACAACGGTTTAATTTTATATTAAATCGAGAAATTGCGATTTTTATTTATTTATTTTTTATATTTGATACATTATAATGGCACCAATGCGCTTTGGTTCACTCTCTGTATGAAGTAGGTCGCACAATGAACAGGTTTCTATACACACACCGGCGACGCCCAGCCACGATTCAGGACACAGTTCATATTTCAACCGCATCACAGAGTGCCATCTGATTAGTTTTATGTTAAATATCATGCGAATGTGCGCGTCTGGTGTGTGATACTTTAAACTGTCATGTGCACGCAGTGTCGCAGCGCTTCTGGTGTGCGACCTGCTTGACTGTCTGTTAAAGTGTGAAGTCATGTAGGATTTTACCTGTTGCATTAGTCTGAGTCACGTCTGTTAGGATTGTCAAGACATTCCTTCATCAAGTCGATAAACTCAACCTTAACATGTATGACGGACGTAAAAACCTGCCATGTGAAAAACCGCGTCGGTCTTAGTTTGAGACTAAGTTAGCATGAAATGAAAATTAAAGCGATGAAAATGAAAGTACCCGCCCCCATTACATCATTTAGCGAACCTAGTTGACAAATCAGGCAGCATAATACAGAGAGTGGTGCAAAGCACATCAAATGATCGGTATTTAAAAGGGAGGAAAAAGAAAAATAGATTAAATTTATTATTTTATATTAGACACACATCTGGTGCTTTTATTTGCTTCTGCTATACGTCCACAACTTCACTCATTGGGTTAAATTAGGCTTTACAGTTTCCATGTTCAGTTTACTTTCACTGTATCTTTTTAAGAAAAAGGCAGCAGCATTACAACCTGTCATTCAATCAGAAGAAGACAAAGTCAAAGCCGAGCTGACAGCCAATCTTTCCTAGGCTCAACAAAACTTGCAAAAAAATACCTCTGTATTCCTGCAATATTTACACATATAATTTTTGTTCAAATCATCTGCAACGATATTTAACTCATAAATTTGTATTACATTTATTTACACCTTGTTGACCAATTTATGTATGACATGGCCATTAAAAATACAATGTTCCTTAACCAGATGGTTTTTCAAGTTACTTAGTAAGAGAATGTTACTTCAGTCATGTTGTTGTAATGTTTTCAGTTGACTAGTTACACAATAAAAAAAATCAAAATCGAAATCGTGAATCGGTCAAACTTTATAAAAAACCTAGATTTTATTATTTTTTTGCCATATCGCCCAACCCAACTGTAACATAAAGAAATGTGGAAAAAATGAAGTGCTATGAATACTTTCCGGATGCACTGTACTTTATGTTATATTTTTTAATTCATATGTGTCAGTTAATAGATGCTTTCCAGAAGCGCAGTCAGATTACTTGTATAATTGTCAATGCAATAAATGGGCTGGATCTGCTTAGAAATATATTGCGACAGTGCTGTGTGTCAATTATTAAATGACTAAAAGCAGACTGTGAAGAGATGCAAACTATGGAATATTTTCCAGTCAATATTGAATTAATGAAAGAAATAAATTTGACTTTGAAAGTATATCAAGCTTAAACATTTTCTAAGTATTTTAAAAGTATTACAAATAATAATCTAATTACTTGTTGCATAAAGTAATTAGTAATGTAATCAAATTATAGTTTCAAATTAGTCATTATTACTTTGTAATCTATCAATTTTTATCTTATACATTATTAGTATGATAAAACCTCACTGCTTTTTTCTTCACTTGGTCATGAGCAGAAGAAACAGAAGTGGTGGACTGTGGCATAATAAAAGTGCTGCTACTTTAATTTTCTCATTTAGCAGTTGCAACACTCTACTTTGATTCATACTATCATGATAATACATTTTGAAGACTACAACTCCTACGATTACACCACAATCACGGTGTAATCAACTTATGCTTTTGTTTGTTGTGAATACTCGCCCTCTAGTGGCTAAAATTACACACTGTGCTTTTAATTTCAATTTCAGGTGCGCTTTAACCCAAAATAAACCATGGAACTCTATCAGAATATTATGCATTCATTCATTTTCCTTCAGCTTAGTCCCTTATTTATTAGGGGTCACCACAGTGGAATGAACCGCCAACTCATTCATTGGTTTTCTTTTTGGCTAAGTCCCTTTATTTATCTGGGGTCGCCACACCGGAACAAACCGGCAACTTATCCAACATATGTTTTACGCAGCGGATGCCCTTCCAGCCGCAACCCATCACTGGGAAATGAACCGCCAACTATTCCAGCTTATGTTTTATGCAGTGAATGCCCTTCCAGCCGCACCCTAGTACTGGGAAACACCCATACATTCAGACACACTCATACACTATGGCCAATTAGTTCACCCAGTTCTTTGGACTATGGGAAACCGGAGCACCAGAAGGAAACCCACGCCAACACGGGGAGAAACATGCAAACTCCACACAGAAATGCTAACTGGCCCAGCCTGGACTCGAACCAGCATCTTTCTTGCTGTGAGGCAACAGTGCTAATCACTGAGCCACCGTGCCACCCCAAGGATATTATAATGAGAAAACTTTTAGCTGTGGCCCTGTATAAATCCTTCCCCATTAAACATTCTCAGCAGGTTTCTCATTAGGGAGCGCAAGCTTGTGTCCGGTTGTGGTCGTGTGGAGAACGGATCGACCTCTCAGGCCTCGTAAATATGCCGATGACTTTGGTTGTGCTGTGTCCCAGCATGCACTTCTGTCATTTCCACATCAGTCCACCCTACAATCCCCTGTGCGAGTGCACTTGTCAGCGTGCCATATGTGGATGCATGTAAACATATTGTGTCTAAATATTCTTCCACTGATCTTTAAATCCTCAGTGTCTTCGTAATATAAAAATGCAAATGAGCTCTCTTAATTAAAAATGTCCCTGCGCTCGTAGAAACACCAAGGGGAAGAAAAGGCCAGGGAAAGTTTTAGTCCGCTCAGCGTTAGCAAAAGAGCTGTCAGATCTGCAGTCAGAGGCTCTTAATGAAGCTTTCATCTTTAAAGTACACTCACTAGGGAGCTAATATCTGCTGAATTATGCAAAAGTAAATGAAGTCTTATCAATTAGGTATTAGCCTTCTCAATTAGTATTAATGAGAGAATGGTGATGTGTGAATTCATGAGGAGGTACTATGTGAATTGTCTGTAAAAACAGCACTGTATGTTAGCAATATCACATTAGCAGTGATAGAGCTAAATTTGTGCAAACGTTATCAATGTTGTGCTGATATACAGCCAAGAGTGTGAATTTTTTTTTGTTGTTGCATTTTTTCAGCAGCTGGATGGCATAGATGTATAAATATTAGAAAACGTCACTTTAGAAAGCATTCATTCATTCATTCATTCATTCATTCTCCTTCGACTTATTCCCTTTATTTAACAGGGGTTGCCACAGCTGAATGAACCGCCAACTGTTCCAGCATATTTTTACGCAGTGTATACCCTTTCAGCTGCAACCCAGTACTGGGAAACACCCATATACTCTCGCATTCATTGAGGCCAATTTAGGTTATTTAATTCCCCTAAACCCTCGCCAACATGGGGAGAACATGCAAACTCCACACAGAAATGCCAACTGACCCAGTCGGGGCTCGAACCAGGGACCTTCTTGCTGTGAGGCGATTGTGCTACCCACTGCGCCACCGTGCAGCCCACTTTAGAACTAGTATTTGCATTATGTATAGTAGTGGAATGTTTTAGTGATGAATAAAATTATTATATTTGCATGTTGTTATTAAATTGCATGTTGGTGTAGTGTGTCAACACATGGCACTCCGGTGCTCATGGCGACCTGAGTTTGATTCCTCAAGTCCAGTCCTATGCCGATCTTTCCCTTCTCTCTGCTCCACACTCTTCTGTCTATACTCTTCTATCAATTAAAGGTGAATATATATATATATATATATATATATATATATATATATATATATATGTATGTATATATATTTATACATACACACATACATGCATACATACATACATACACACACACACACACACACACACATTCATACTGTACTGTACTGTATATATATGTACATGGTGGATACATACATGGTGGACACATGAGTCTGACAATTAAGTGGAGAGGTTAAAACGTTTTATTAATTGTTATCACTAACCTAATGAAAAACTTTTATGTTTTTAATGTTATATAAATATAATTAAATATAGAATACATTTGGATGATGTGATAAGATGATTAAAAGAACACATAACTAAGTAACAGAATGGTCCATTAATGAGGAAATAGTATGACCCAAGGCTTGCATACCTTTTTACATTTCTACATGAAAGTTCATGTGTGAAAGACATCTGAGGTCACTTCCTGTGTCGTTTGTTCTGCAGGTAGGCGACGATCCTCGGCATGCTGGACCCGCTGTACTGCCACGCCCCTCCAACACCTTCACAGCCAATCGCAACCAGTGTCAAGACTTGGTTCCTGTTGGTGAGTTGCCCTAACCTGCCTAGTAAACCTAATTAACCTAGTTAAGCCTTTAAATGTCCTTTTAAGCTGTATAGAAGTGTCTTGAAAAATATCTAGTCAAATATTATTTACTGTCATCATGGCAAAGATAAAATTCAGTTATTAGAAATTAGTTATTAAAACTATTATGTTTAAAAACATGACTTCAACTAATATATATATATATATTATTAATATATTAAATTAATAATAATTATTATTTTGTATTCTTTTAAAAGTATATTTTCTAAGTGATGTTTAGAGGGTGAATTTTCACAGATTTTTTTTCATTCCTGAGAACGTCTTATTTATTTTAGCTTGGCTGGATTAAAAGCAGCTTTTACATTTAAAATTTTTTTTTAAGGTGAATATAATTAGCCCATTTAACATTTTTCTATATTCTTTAGAACAAACCATTTCTGTATAATGACTTGCCTAAGTATCCTTTCGATTGCACTGTAAGCTGAATAATACTGGAATCCTATAAATTGTATATTAAAGCAGTTGTTTGTCAAAGTGTGGAGCCAAATGGTGTTGTAAGTTTTGTCTTTTCACCAGCTGCTTTGCTCCTCTTTTCTCAGCCTATAATGAAAAAATAGTGGCATTTCTGCGGCAGCCGAACATATTTGATATCCTTCAGGAGAGGCAGCCTGAGCTCATTAGGAATCACTCACTCAGGTGCGAAACATTACAAAATAAATCTCAATCTGAGCCTGTCGATTATGAGAATGTTGACTTTTCTGATTCTGATCTGCAGGGAGAAGGTGCAGTTCATTCGTAATGAAGGAGCGTCAGGCTTGGCTCGTCTCTCCAGCGATGCAGACCTGGTGATTTTGCTCAGGTACTGAATTTAACACTGTAAAAGTGGAAGATAATATGATATAAAATATTATATAAATATTATTTTTTTATAGGCAGAACTGAGTAAAAACATATTGTCTAATATATATTAGAAAAATAACTTACTGAACAGTTTATACAATCACATCGGCTCCTAATGCACTCAACATTCAAAACAAAAACAACTTGATGTGAACATATAACTTGATACAATCATGAGACTAACAATAATAATACATTTTTACCCCATTTTTTACATTTTTGCTCCAATATCTTGACTTGTTGTGGCATATTACTGTAATCTATAGCCTCCATCTGGCAGTGAGGTGTCCTGGAACATGTTCATCTTCAATCATCTGTATAAAATGTACACAGGTTGAGGGCAGAGTGACTGGGTTAATTGTTAATTAAATTTAACCATTAAATCAAGTTAAAGACAGACTACTCAAGTTAAAGACAGACTACTCATGTTAAAGTATTCTTGTATTCATGTTAATTGCTTCCTATTCTTGCTGTAGTTTGTTTGAAGAGGAAGTGATGTCGTATGTGCCACCTCATGCCTTACTGCACCCCAGCTACTGCCAGTCACCACGAGGGTCTCCAGTCTCCTCTCCTCAAAACTCTCCAGGTCTGTTCATCCAGCTACCAATAAGAGGAATGTCTGTCTCTTCTACTGTCTATGATGCTGCCATTTCTGGTGTATTTTTCTTGCAATATTATTGGCCTTATTCTTCACGTATGAGCGGGTGCCGCCATTGCAATCTGTGTGGCTTTCTGGCCACATTCACTTCCACTGATTTTTAGTCGTTAGAAACATCTCGTTCTGCTGCTTGATATTGCAAACTGATATTTTCTTATTTATTATTCTCATTTGTCTGTATTTTCATGAACACACTTGTTTGTAGAACAAGTAGTTTACCCGTTTTCTGCCGTAATTATTCCTAGTCATTAATCCTATAGGCAGCTGAATCGAAACTTCTACAACAGTCGCAAAAATGAGCGCACTTCCGCATTAAACAATAAGGCCAAATAAAGCTGCAAGCAGCGATGCACCCGGGCTCACTGCAGCTCGGTGGCCTTAGGATGACAGAGAACAGTGGAAAATAAAATTTCAGCTGATATACATAATTACCGAGATAATCACCGATTTGTGCCAACTTTGCTTCTGTCAGCAGGTGGCGCTGTGGCTGTGACTCAATATTGGCATGTAGATGTCTTCAGGAGAGGAATCTTATAGAGCATGTGAATTTTCAGGCAGGTCAGACATTGTCTGGTTGAGTTATAAGCCAAACTTTCTTCTATCAGCAGGTGGCGCTATGACTGTGACTCAATATGGGCATGTTGATGCCTTCTGGAGAGGAATCTCATTGAACATGCAAATTTTCAGGCAGATCAGACATTTTTTGGCTCAGTTATAAGTACTTCCTCCTCCATGGCGAAGCACTAAAATTTGTCAGTCCGCTACGGACACGCACTTCGGTGAAAACTCTAGATCTTCGCAATTTAACATCACAAAGGCCTTGGACTAAACTAATGGAACATGGATTTGATGGGATAAAATTTGTTACACTGTAAAATTTGTAATCTCCTGTTGCCAGCAGGTGGCGCTATAACTGTATCTGGGTATTGGCATGTAAACCTGTTCAGGTCAGGACTCTTATCGTGTGAATTTTGAGGCAGATCGGACAATGCATGCCTGAGTTATAACAACGTTCTGTTTCGTGGTGAATAGTCAAAGTTTGCGAGGCCGCCACGGACACGCTTTTCGACGGAAACTCTTCGCAATTTAACATCACCAAGGCCTTTAGATGACAATACCCAATTCTGGTGTTGATCTGACAAAATCACTAGGAGGAATATGTTAAAATACCATGCCTTTTCGTATGTGTGTGTGAAACGTAGCCAGGGGGCCATTCCGTCAAATGTGCATAGGTGGCGCTGTTGAGTCATTTTGCCACACCCACTTCTGAAACCTACACCAAATGTAAATTTCCGCCACTTCTGGGGCGTGTGCAAAGTTTTGTGAGTTTTCGGGCATGTTTAGACTGCTTTTTGAAATTGCGAAATTGCGATTCGTTCCAGAAAAGAATAATAATAAGAAACAGAGTATTCCAATAGGGCCTATGCACCTAAAAACTAGTCGTATGAACCAGCAATACAGCAGTGGCTGCTGCTGACATTTTAAAGTATATAGTGTTTGATATCTCGTGTCGTAAATCTTATGATGCATTGAACAAATCTTCAATTTAATCAATGTAATTGTTTGTGATTTTTGGAGGAATTTGCTGATTTCTAATGTTGATCTTAGATGCATATAAGCCCTAGGAGACAAGAAAACCTGGAACCATTTAAATAGCATAATTTGAGATTTTTAATGTTGAGACCTATGCATCTATTTGCAGTATTGCTTTGCTTTGGTTGTGGAGCTTGGCGTTCAGCCATCCAGATTTCCTGGGTATTTTTCAGCTTGGCCTCCAAAGGATCAAATCCGCTGTCTGGGATTTGACATGTAGCTGGAGTCCAGGGACTTTTTGGCTGATCCCTGCAGGCTGGATTTTTAGCTGTTAAACTGACACTGTGATTTCCACGAGTCTGTTTGGAGTGTGGCGGACGTCTCGCTGCCAGAGGGATTCATGGGCTAATTCACCATGATCTGACTTTAGTCACCGCCGGGATTACTCTGTCCGCTGCTTCAGCAAATTCTGCAGCTCTTTTCTTTGGTCAATTTGTAAAAGTTACTTTTGTTATTATTGTTATTTTTAGTGTTAGTTATTAATTCATTTGTTCAGTCATTAATCTGCTTGCTTGCTTAGTTATTCAGTTATTTATTTTAAACTTTTATTATTAAAAAATTTAAGTGGACTTTTTAAACTTTGAGGTTAGACTTTTATTTCTCATTAGATATTATGCAGATCTTGTTTTTTCCCTTTGTTTAAATATACTGATTGATAACAATTTATTGAGAACAATAATGTAACTACATTTTTGATTGATTGAACTATTGATTGGTTGAATGTTGGTTGCGCGCTTGGTTTGTTGGTTGGTTGGTTGGTTGGTTGGTTGACTGATTGATTGAATGGTTGGTTGATTGACTGGTTGGTTGGTTGGTTGGTTGGTTGGTTGGTTGGTTGACTGATTGATTGAATGGTTGGTTGATTGACTTGTTGGTTGGTTGGTTGGTTGACTGATTGATTGAATGGTTGGTTGATTGACTTGTTGGTTGGTTGGTTGGTTGGTTGACTGATTGATTGAATGGTTGGTTGGTTGGTTGGTTGGTTGACTTGTTGGTTGGTTGGTTGATTGACTGATTGAATGGTTGGTTGGTTGACTTGTTGGTTGGTTGATTGATTGATTGACTGATTGGTTGAATGTTGGTTGCGCGCTTGGTTTGTTGGTTGGTTGGTTGACTGATTGATTGAATGGTTGGTTGATTGACTTGTTGGTTGGTTGGTTGGTTGGTTGACTGATTGATTGAATGGTTGGTTAGTTGGTTGGTTGGTTGACTTGTTGGTTGGTTGGTTGATTGACTGATTGAATGGTTGGTTGGTTGACTTGTTGGTTGGTTGATTGATTGATTGACTGATTGGTTGAATGTTGGTTACGTGCTTGGTTTGTTGGTTGGTTGGTTGGTTGGTTGACTGATTGATTGAATGGTTGGTTGATTGACTTGTTGGTTGGTTGGTTCGTTAGTTGGTTGGTTGGTTGGTTGACTGATTAATTGAATGGTTGGTTGGTTGGTTGACTTGTTGGTTGGTTGGTTGATTGACTGATTGAATGGTTGGTTGATCGGTTGATTGACTTGATTGATCGGTTGATTGACTTGATTGATTGATTGATTGATTGAATGGTTAGATTGGTTGGCTGGTTGGTGGATTGACTTGATTGACTTGATTGATTGATTGAATGGTTGGATTGGTTGGTTGGTTGATTGACTTGATTGATCGGTTGATTAACTTGATTGATTGAATGGTTGGATTGGTCGGTTGGTTGATTGATTGATTGATTGATTGATTTATTGATTGATTAATTGGTTGACTAATTGACTGACTGATTAGTTGGTTGGTTGATCGGTTGATTGACTTGATTGATTGATTAAATGGTTGGTTGGTTGATTGATTTGATGGATTAGTTGATTGATTGATTGATTGATTGATTGATTGATTGATTGATTGATTGATTGATTGATTGATTGATTGGTTGGTTGGTTGGTTGGTTGGTTGGTTGGTTGGTTGGTTGGTTGGTTGGTTAGTTGGTTGGTTGACTAATTGACTGACTGATTAGTTGGTTGGTTGATTGACTGATTGACATGAAGAGATCAGTTATGTTTCATTTATTTTATTGCTAAATTATCTGACTCAGTTGATATAAAATAAATGCAAATAAAGAGCAAGTGTAAAGTGCAAAGAGTCAGACATTTTAGTTGATTTTTTAGCCTACTGTTTTGTAAACCTGATCTTCTCTTCTCAGGTACACAGAGAGCCAACGCTCGGGCCCCTGCACCCTACAAACGAGACTTTGAAGCCAAACTTCGAAATTTCTATCGCAAGCTTGAGACTAAAGGATACGGACAGGGTCCTGGTAAAGTCAAGTAAGCATCTGTGCCGTACTCTGAGCTTTATAATGTATGAACACTCATTCACACTCATGATGACCTGTGTTTGTTTTAGGCTGATAATCCGCAGAGATCATCTACTGGAGGATGCCTTCAATCAGATCATGTGCTACTCTCGAAAAGATCTCCAGAGAAGCAAACTCTACGTCAGCTTTGTTGGAGAAGAAGGGTCAGTGTTACCCTAGATTTAAAAAAATAACCAGACTTTAAAACTATTTGACATTTGTATATTTGTTTAATTACATTTTGTTGTATTATAATGATTTTAGGCATTTATTTCTATTACAATTTTTTTCTTGATTTTTTTTTTATTTAAAACTATTTAGATTTTTTTTTGCTTTGTTTTGAACAAATTTGACTAGTTTTACTTTCAGTTTTAGATATAGTCTTTAAACCCAGTATTGTATTTTGTTATGATCAGTTGTTGTTTACTGTTTACATTTAAATTTTATTTAGTTTTATTATAATTGTTTATTGTATTATGATATTTTTTTTTATTATTTTAAATTATTTTCTTTTTTTACTTTTCTTTTGTTTTTGTTTTATTTTGTTATTTTTATTTTGTTTTTTTGTTTCATTACTATTATTAATATTATTTTCTTTTATTTAGTTTTTTATTATTTTATTTTAATTTGTTTGTTTTGTTTATTTTATTATTTTTTCTTTTCTTTTATTATTTATTATTTAGTTTTTTTTTTCATTTTATTTTATCTCAATATTATAGCTTTTTATATTTTTGTTTTGTTTTATTATTTATTTTATAAATTTTTTCTTTTCTTACTCTTATTTCATTATTTTTTATTTTCTTTTGTTGATTTTATTATTATTAATAATAATTGACTTTTATTTTCTTTTATAATTTTATTTTGTGTTTTGTTTTGTTAATTATTACTTTTTTTTCTTATTTTGTTTTTCTTTTCTTTTTTATTTATTTTAATTAAATTATTATTTTTCTATTTTATTTTGTTATAACACATTTTTCTGTTTTTGCTTCTGTTCAGATTGGACTACAGTGGCCCGTCAAGAGAGTTTTTCTTTCTGGTGTCGAGGGAGCTCTTTAACCCTTATTATGGTTTGTTTGAGTATTCAGCCAACGACACCTACACCGTTCAGATCAGTCCCATGTCTGCCTTCGTTGACAATCATCATGAATGGTGAGAGCAGATTTCTGAAGTCCTTGCTAATACTTTCACCACATTCATTCATTCATTTTCTTGTCGCCTTAGTCCCTTTATTAATCCGGGGTCGCCACGGCGGAATGAACCGCCAACTTGTCGAGGACGTTTTTACACAGCCTATGCAACCCATCTTTGGGAACCTCCACACACACACTCATACGCTCATAGCCTACCCACCTATACCGCACGTCTTTGGACTGTGGGGGAAACCGGAGCACCCGGAGGAAACCCACGCGAATGCAGGGAGAACATGCAAACTCCACACAGATACGTCAACTGAGCCGAGATTAGAACCAGTGACCATCTTGCTGTGAGGCGACAGCCATCCCATTGCATCACTGCGTCACCACCACTTTCACCAAATCCATCATTAAAATCAAGATTTAAAACGTACTATAATTAACCTATAAGACTGTAGACTCCATTCCAGTCAAACTAGCGTAAATAAGTCCCAGTTTTATTTTGGCATGACGTTGTTTTCATTATATACACAACATATTTTTATTCTGGGGTTGCTTTTATAATGTACACATGTTTTTGATTGGTCAGGTTTCGCTTCAGCGGCCGTATTCTAGGTCTCGCTCTTATCCATCAATACCTACTGGATGCCTTCTTCACACGACCCTTCTACAAAGGCCTGTTGAGAATGTGAGTGAAAATTGAACTACATGTTCTGTATTACATTTATCACCATCAGATTATTTGACTTCATACGTGTTTGTTTAAACATGTAGCCCGTGTGATCTGAGTGATCTGGAGTATCTGGATGAGGAGTTTCATCAGAGTCTTCAGTGGATGAAGGACAATGACATAGAAGATATGCTGGATCTGACCTTCACAGTCAATGAGGAGGTGTTCGGACAGGTCAGTGTGTGACCTAAAAACGTGTTAGCTTCATTACACTACAGACCATTGTAACGTAGGAGTCGGGTTGACAAAAGAGGTGAGGATTCACATGCAGTTTGCGACCCTAAGAACTATACTATGCGAAATGATAGACTTTGTATTTTGTCCGTACGATATACAGTCAAGCCCGAAATAATTCATACCCCTTACAAATTCTGACTCCCTTCACCGATTCTCAATCAGATTTAAGTCAGGACTCTGGCTGGGCCACTGTTAATGTTTTTGTCTGCCACTTTGGCTTTGAGATTTCGGTTGTTGTGCTGAAATGTCAAATGTTGGCTGAGTTTCTCAGCAGACTGCCTGATGTTGTTGTGGTTGTTATTGCTGCTGGTTGAATAAAACTAACTTTACGTCAGAATTTGCAAGGGGTATGAATAATTTCAGGCTTAACTGTATTAATTGTCATATTGCACAGTCCTATAGTGTATTATTGTACTGGTGTTCATTATCTTGTGATGATTCCCGCTTTTTATGAATTATTTGTTACATAACCTGTCACCATTGTCTTACAGAAGTGTGTGCATGTGTGTGTTAGATCACAGAGCGCGAGCTGAAGCCTGGCGGTGCAAACATCCCAGTGTCGGAGAAGAATAAGAAGGAGTACATCGAACGCATGGTGAAGTGGCGTATCGAGCGCGGCGTCGTCCAGCAGACCGAGAGTCTCGTACGGGGCTTTTATGAGGTACTGAGATCAAATCAACATTCCAAAACATTCGCCACTTCTGCCGTTCACTGTTGCCCTGAGGAACCGCACAATCCTGCTTCACTGAATTTCTGCTTGACAGATTTGAGTCAGTGTGCTGTTTTGGTTGTAAATGCTTTCTTGGTAGTGCACTACAAACTTTTTGAGTTCAGTAAGACTTTTTAATGATTTTTTTCTAGATTATTTCCAAGATTACAGTAAGATTAATCTGATTTCTTAAAATTTATCTCTGCCCACCTATAATTTATATTAAAAAAAGTGCTTTAAAAAGAAGTGTGACAGCTGCATTCGCTATTGAAAAGCAAATCAGAAATGCGATATGTCTTGACTTACAGTCACAAGCACATTTTATTTACACTAGTTACTCATTTTATTAATGTTTTTAATGTTGTTCATCAAACTTTATTTGCCTGTCATTACATGACTGTAATCATAATATGAGTATGATAGTGATTATGATTATAATGACTATGATCATGAAAATCTAAAGGAGCCAAGTCTTGTGTTTTTCCTCATACCGTTGTTCTAAATTTCATATTTCCTTAATTTAGCTTCACTGACAAAAGATTTAGTCACCGAATGAGCAATGAGTTTATTTTTAAAATCCTGCATTATTTAGAGTGACCCTGAATGAAATGAGACAGAATATGAATTAATGAACACAGCTCTGTCGGTTTAATTTATGATTGATGATGTTCAGTTCAGAAATATCCTCATGTCTGTATTATGGACTGCAATTGCAAAATCTGTGGACTTAGCTGCATTCCAAAAGTTTCACAAGATTATGCCAATACTCGGTATTTTAAACCACCCACTTCAAGGTTTGAATTAATGAATCATTAATAAGAGACTCGCTCTGTCCGGATCATTTAAATCAGGGAATCGTAAATTGCAGACTCGCTCTTAACAAATATATTATATCAGTGAATCATTAATTAGAAACTCGATCTGTAATAATTTTGACCTGTAAATGGTTCTTAAGAAATTAAAAACTGCTTTTATTCTAGCCGAAATAAAACAAATAAGACTTTCTCCAGAAGAAAAAATGTTATCAAATATTAGTTAAACATAATTTAGTATAAAAAAAAAATATATATATATATATATATGTATATATATATATATATATATATATATATATATATATATATATATATGACAAAAAAATTCAAAGGGGGGCTAATAATTCTAACTTCAACTGTACACATTTAAGTGACATGACTAAGGGCCTACTCACACTATGCCATCCGTACCGAGCCCAGGCCCGTTTCCCGGATCGTTTGAGAAGTGTGAGTGTGCTGAATCGGGCTCAAGCACGGTTCACTTGGCCGGCCCTGGCCTGGTTGGAAGAGGTGTGCCTGAGTGCGGTTCAGTTCCCGAAACTGAAAGTGAGACGTGACTTTTAAGGGGCTGTTTCATATGGATTTATTAATCATTCTTAATGTTCAGTGAACGCAAAATGTCGTAGTTTATTATAGAACTCCTCACAACACGACAGCTGCGCGGCTTCAGCAGACCTCCTCATTCCTGCAGCACGAGGGCTTTATGATTGTTTTTGAGTGCCAAATGTGGCAGATCTGTTCGGCAAAATATCTGACTGCGTGTCACCGCATGCCTAAGGACTGTATGGCGAAATATTTGACTGCATGTCACTGCATAACAAACGACTGAAAGGATATAACTAGAGAAATCTCCACTGTGCTGCTGAGTGAGAGAGCGCTTCTCACTGAACAGCGCAGCAGCGATGACGTAAGCGTGCCGAGGCCCATTTGTGGTGTGAGTGCGGGCCGTCGGGGGAGACGGGAGGGGGGACAAGCATGCTTTGGCCCGGTTCGAGGCAACTGTACCTAGTGTGAGTACGGCCTAAAAAAACAAACAAACAATAACGAATTACTTGTTGTGGACTGATCAGTTTCTGTGTGTATGAACTGACTGCAGGTTGTAGATGCGCGGCTGGTGTCTGTGTTTGATGCACGAGAGCTGGAGCTGGTGATCGCTGGGACAGCAGAGATTGATCTGGGAGACTGGAGGAACAACACTGAATACAGAGGAGGTAAAACACATTCACACTCATCAATACTGCAGTAATAATTAGGGCTGCACAATAAATTACAAAATTACTGATATCGCGATAACACTATATGCAATATTCAGTTAAAGTCAGAATTATTAGCCTTCCTGAATTATTAGCCCCCTTGTTTATATTTTTCACCAATTTCTGTTTAACAGAGAGATTTTTTCAACACATTTCTAAACATAATAGTTTTAATAACTCATCTCTTATAACTGATTTATTTTATCTTTGCCATGATGACAGTAAATAATATTTGACTAGATATTTTTCAAGACACTTCTATACATTCTAAAAAGCACTGGGTTAAAAACTACCCAAATTGAGTTGTTTTTAACCCTACTGCTTGGTAAGTATGGGACAGAACACATCAGGGGTTAAATTATCCCAAGTAATTGGGTTATTATTTTTAACCCCATAAATGGGTTGTTTTTCTACCCAATAATTGGTTATTTTTAATTAAATAATAGGATAATTTGATCCAAAAATGCCTGCGAAAGATGACCCAGCAATTGTGTCTGTTTGACTCGGCATCACTGAAGTACGGTGGGGGATGTGCAGCTTCAATTACAGGTGTACAAAAGGTGCTAGTAAGATATTTTTAAATTCAGAAACATCAGCTATGAGCATAAATCAAATTCTCATCTACCTGCTGTGAGTTAATTTGACACAAAGAGCTGGGTTGAAACTACTTAAGACTACCCCCAAAAATTACCCAAATGCCTCAATCTAAGATTTGGGTAAAAAAAAATAACCCCATATTTTTTAGAGTGTACAGCTTAAAGTTACATTTAAAGGGTTAACTAGGTTAATTAGGTTAACTAGGCAGGTAAGGTTATTAGGCAAGTAATTTTATAACAATGGTTTGTTCTGTAGACTATCAAAATAATATAGCTTAAAGGGGCTAATGATTTAGTCCTTAAAATGGTTTTCAAAAAATTAAAAACTGCTTTTGTTTTAGCCGAAATAAAACAAATAAGACTTTCTCCATAGGAAAAAATATTATCAGACATACTGTGGAAATTTCCTGAATCTGTTAAACATCATTTGGGAAATATTTAAAAAAGAAACAAAAATCCATCTATCCATCCAACTGTAAAATATTTTAAGTTAATAGGAATAATTTATTGACAGCCTCACAGTATTATAATATCAATTTAAACAATTAAAGTCTTAAAGAGGCTAATAATATTGTCCTTAAAATTGTCTAAAAAAATTGAAAACTGCTTTTATTCTTGTCGAAATTAAACAAATAAGACTTCCTCCAGAACAAAAACTATTATAGGCAATACTGTGAAAATGTCCTTGCTCTGTTAAAAGTAATTTGGGAAATATTTTGGAAGCTAAAGGAGGGCTTATAATTTTTAACTTTTACTGTTCGTATCACAGATGTTATTTTTTTATGCATTGGTTGTTTATCTAAATTTGACCAATCAGAAAAGGTCTTACTTCAGCCTCGCCTCCATAGCAATTGCTGTTTTGCTATTGGCTGGAGCAGCCCAAAGGTTAAACCAGAGATGAAAATAAACACTAATGGCAGGAATCTGGACAAGAATTGACAACAGCCCATCAGAATATCTGCTGAGGTTTTTACTCATTTATTGTGTTTCAAAGACTTAAGACCCAGTTTTTGAGTTTAAATTAGAATGAATTAGATTTTAAAATTATTTTTTACCTCATAATTTTAATATTATTAAATAAATAAATGATTTTAACACATAACATTTAAAGCATTTTTCAAGTGAAATCTTACAGTGCTCAGTATAATTGAGTACACCCCATTTTGAAAATGAACATTTTTTTCCATTTCTAAGTGAATATGGGCAATGTATTTTGGTGCATTTAAATAAAACAGATTTATTAAACAGATATATTTCTTAAAATAATATTTTAGTCACCAAACATATTTAAAAAACTGAAAGATAATACAATTAAATTCAAGCAAAATATTGCAAAAATAAAAATAAAAATTACTACCTACAAAACATCAACTAAAGTTTTCCATTGTTTTGCTTCTCTTGATTTTTCCTCTTTTTTAAATTTGTATTTAATATTTTTCTATAACATACATTTGACTGTACTAGTTTTTTAACCATTATTGTAAGTTATTTTGTAAGATAAGCTCTAGATACATACTAATTCAGTACTGACTAATCTAATGCATAAATAAAAATATGAGTTTAAAAGAGAGATTTGTGAGGGGTGAACTTGTATATGCTGAGCACTGTATAATGTAAGAAATATCATTATTGCAATAATCAACAACATCACAGTATCCAGTATCATGTAGCCTTAGTAATATTAATAAAATCTCCAATAAAGCATCTCAAACTGGCGTCAAAGTGTGAAGCGTCTGATTTATGGCTGAAATATAATCCGCTTGATAGACTGTGTGCTTTCACAGTGTCTGTTATCCATACTGGTCACATTTTGAGCTCACTGGAGCGAGTTTATTGGTTTTCCCCTCCAGGTTATCATGATAACCACATCGTGATCCGCTGGTTCTGGGCGGCAGTGGAGCGATTCAACAATGAGCAGAGACTCCGGTTACTCCAGGTGAGTGCTGAAATGTAACGTTTAAATTATGGCCTGCACTTCCAGTTTGAGGAAGTTCCTTTCAAAAGAGACTTGAGACCCATTGTTTTTCGTTTTCTGAGTATGTGTGTACTTCGACAGACTGTCTTAGGGTTTTTATTTGCATAGTGAATTCAAAGTCAGTCTGTCTGTCTGTCTGTCTGTCTGTCTGTCTGTCAGTCTGTCTATCCATCCATCCATTTATAATTTTAAACATGATTGACTCTACATTATCTATCTATCTATCTATCTATCTATCTATCTATCTATCTATCTATCTATCTATCTATCTATCTATCTATCTATCTATCTATCTATCTATCTATCTATCTATCTATCTATCTATCTATCTATCTATCTATCTATCTATTTAATTATAGTTTGAAAACACAGTTGACACTACATAATTGATTTATTTATCTATCTTTTAATTTATAATTTTAAACAAAATTTACACTTCATTATTTGTTAATTAATTAATTAATTAATTTAATATTTTAAACACAATTGACACTACATTATTGGTTGATTTATTCTTTATTTGTTTACTTATTTATGTATAGTTTTAAACACAATTGAGACTACATTATTTATTTATTTATTTATTTATAGTTTTAAACACAATTGACACTACATTATTTATTTAGAATTTTAAACACAATTGACACTACATTATTTGTTTATTTATTTAGAATTTTAAACACAATTGACACTACATTATTTGTTTATTTATTTATTTATAATTTTAAACACAATTGACACTACATTATTTGTTTATTTATTTAGAATTTTAAACACAATTGACACTACATTATTTGTTTATTTATTTAGAATTTTAAACACAATTGACACTACATTATTTGTTTATTTATTTATCTAGAATTTTAAACACAATTGACACTACATTATTTGTTTATTTATTTATTTATAATTTTAAACACAATTGACACTACATTATTTGTTTATTTATTTATTTATAATTTAAACACAATTGACTACATTATTTGTTTATTTATTTATTTATTTATTTAGAATTTTAAACACAATTGACACTACATTATTTGTTTATAATTTTAAACACAATCGGCTCTACATTATTGGTTGATTGATTTATTTTAATTTTTGTGTGTGTGTGTGTGTGTGTGATAGTCATTTATTTTTGTTTGTGGGGAAGGGTTGGGAATAATATTTGTTTCTATATTTGTGTAAATCTATCCTGCTATTTTTTTTTAAAGTTTAATAAACAGATAAAAAAAAACTCTGTAACAAATGACTTGAGATAATAAGGCTGTGCTACAAAAAATCCACATACATAGTGAAAAGTAAGTTTATTTATATGTGACATTAATACCACAAGCATAGTTCAGTGTTTTGTTCTATCAGATTGTTTACTCATGATATTTCCTGCAGTTCAGTAATGGTCATATGTAATTTTGCCTTTTGAATATTGTATGGATGCTGTTCAAAGTGACATTTCAAAGATTGTTTACTCTCATAATTCATGCAAAGCATCATGGGGCATATGAATACGGTGTCTGAAATGTGTCTGTTGTGTCAGTTTGTGACCGGGACGTCCAGTATCCCGTATGAGGGCTTTGCCTCGCTCAGGGGCAGCAATGGGCCGCGGCGCTTCTGTGTGGAGAAATGGGGGAAAATCACATCTCTGCCCAGGTAATGTACTACTGAAATTAAGATACAAGTTTATTTATGACTCGTATTACGCTATAGCCTGTCTGTCTAAATTTGACCTAATCAATTTATACATATAAAACTATATATTTACTATTTTTATTATTTTTTGAGTATTATTCATAAGCAACGTTCATTAGTGTCGTATCAACAATATAACAGAATAAAATTAAGTTTAAATTATTGACATTTAAATTACATTATACTGGTTTCATTCAACCTTTCATTCTAAAATTCGAAGCAACAAAAAGAAAAAAAATGGCTTCACTAAAAAATAGGTAAAAATAACAAATTACAGCGCTATACCTTAATATAAACACACATACGTGCATACATTTACACATGCATACATACATACATATAACGAGATAGTGATGATATCAGGTGTTGTAAAAAAAAAGCACACAACAAATTTATTGATAAAGCCTCAGTTAACAAATGAAGACCAACAACATCTCATTCATTACCTAAAACAGGGGTCAACAATCTCGGCCCAGGAGGGCCTGTGTCCCTGCAGATTTTAGCTTCAACTTGCCTCAAAACACCTGCCTGAGTGTTTCAAGTATACCTAGTATGACCTTAACTAGCTTGTTCAGGTGAGTTTGATTAGAGTTGGTGCTAAAATCTGCAGGGCACCGGACCTCCAGGAACAAGTTTGGTGACCCGTGATCTAAAACAACCCATTTGGCCACAAACGCAATGGCTAACATTATCCACAAGATGGCGCAATCTGGCAACCCAAGAAGTGCACGAACAGAATTTCTTTACAATTCAACAACAGCAGGCAATTACAATGTAAATACAACATAAAAATATATACAAACAATACAGAGATTAATTTTTGCAACAAGAGATATGACTATTTTAAAGAAGTATACCAAATAGTTATTTTATTGATTAAAATAATCAATAAAATAAAAAGAGAAGGCATTTATTAAAACATGCACATGTTTAAGAGGTTTTAACTGCTTGTTATGAGACGCTGAAATAGTATTCAATTACATCTTATTGGGATTTCTGTGTATTTCTGTGTGTTGTAGGGCTCACACGTGTTTCAACCGGCTGGATCTTCCCCCCTATCCTTCATTCTCCATGCTCTACGAGAAGATGCTGACGGCAGTGGAGGAGACCAGCACTTTCGGTTTGGAGTGAATGTCGGTCAGATTTCAGAAACATTTAAACAAACACCAGAAGCACTTAGACGTACATATATATTTTATACACCGCATCACTTAAAAAACACTGAAAGCAAGGGTGTTTCTCTGACTCAGATGTGATTTATTCCCTTCTTCTTGTCAGTAACGCCATATTGATTGGCTCTGGATTCGACAGCGATTTTTTTTTGGGGGGGGGGGGGGGCATTTGAAAGTTTCATCACTTCCAAATCGAAAGTGATGATAATGAGAAACAAACCCAAAGGACTTTGATACTCTCGCACTCTTTTTATCTGTAAAGAGACTTTTTATACAGCGCATCGAAACGCAGCGTGAATGAACAGATGTTGTGTTTGTTGTGAGCTATTTCAAATCGCCTCAATCTCACACCACACACCGTATGTATTGACTCCAAATGTATATGTTTTCCGTTCATATTTATGCATTAGTCCGTCACGTATGTTTGTTTCAACGACGTATGCCGTCACTTCTGACACTTTTGAATGAATTTATTTGGTGTATCGTCTCACATGCAACGCTGTTTTGCTTTGAAAGGGCATGTTACACTGCAGATGCACTACAATATCATGAATGTGAGGAGCACTTTGTGCAGTGATGAAATGACCAGAGGTTTTGTTTCGTTGTCCTGAAACACAGATTTATTACTGATAATGTTTTGAAAGAGAAATCAAGCTTCAGAAAGCCCTTAAAGTCAACAAGAAATGAACAATTGTTTGGAAATATTACGATTTTTTTAAATAGTTCTGTCAAACAATGAATCAGGATTAATCACGTTCCAGATAAACGTTTGTATTTACATAATATATACAAGTGTACTGTGCATATTTATGTATATATGACTAAATACACAAAAATATACAAAAGAAATATATTTACATATATATTTATATATAATTTGGGCAGCATGGTGGCTCAGTGGTTAGCACTGTTGCCTTACAGGAAGAATGTCACTGGTTTGAGTCCAGGCTGGGGCAGTTGGCATTTCTGTGTGGAGTTTGCATGTTCTCCCTGTGTTGGCATGGGTTTCCTCCGGGTGCTCCGGTTTCCCCCACAGTCCAAACACATGTGCTATACAGTTGGGGAATTGGATGAACTAAATTGGCCGTAGTGCATGTGAGTGTGTGTGAATGCGAGAGTGTATGGATGTTTCCCAGTACTGGGTTGCAGCTGGAAGGGCATCCGTTGTGTGAAACATATGCTGGTATATTTGCGGTTCATTCCGCTGTGTGACCCTGTGTGAAGGGACTAAGCTAAAGGAAAATCAATGAATATAATTTGTATTATATATAAAGTAAAACAAATATTTCATACAGTATATTCATGCATGTTTATATTCACAGTGCACACAAAACTATTTTGTAAATATGAGCTTTTATTTTGGATGCGATTAATCGTGTTTAATTGTTTGACAGCATTGTTTTTTTTCTTTTTTATGCTCACAAGAGCTGCATTTATTTTTTCAAAATGCTTCAAAAATTGTGAAATATTATTATATCATAAAATAACTGCTCTTTACTAATATGTTTCTCGAATATAACTTATTCCTAATATGCAAAACTGATTTTTTAGCATTGTTACTTCAGTCTTCAGTGTCGTATATTATAAAATTTATTGAATATAATATATAATACACATAATTCATGACTTTTATTAATATTTGAGCAGCATAATAGAATTTCTAAAGGGTCAATGCAACACATACAGTTGAAGTCAGAATTTTTAGCCCCCTATAATTATTAGCCCCCTGAATTATTAGCCCCCCTGTTTATTTTTTCCCCAATTTCTGTTTAATGGAGAAATTTTTTAACACATTTCTAAACATAATAGTTTTAATAACTCATTTCTAACAACTGATTTATTTTATCTTTGCCATGATGACAGTAAATAATATTTGACTAGATATTTTTCAAGACACTTCTATACAGTTATTTAAAATGGTGGTTTGTTCTGTAGACTATTGAAAACAAATATAGCTTGAAGGGGCTAATAATATTGACCTCATAACGTTTAAAAAAAAAAAAAAATTATTCTAGCCGAAATCAAACAAATAAGACTTTCTACAGAAGAAAAAATATTATCCAACACACTGAAAATTTACCTCCTCTGTTTAACATAATTTGGGAAATATTAAAAAAAGAAAAAAAAATTCAATAGGGTGCTAATAATTTTTACTTCAATTGTGTGTGTGTGTGTGTGTTTATATATATATATATATATATATATATATATATATATATATATATATATATATATATATATATATATATAAATACACACACACACACACACACACATAATGATATAACACATTCCTATAATTCAATGCAAAATTATATTTTATATTCCTTCTGAAATCATTATTAAGTTGTTAACATTTTTAAAATATAAAATAATACTTACATTCAAACTGCAAATCTCATAAGTGTAAAATATTCAACATAAATGATCGTTATTAATATTTGAGCAGCGTATTAGAATGATTTCTATAGGACCACGATCTTTGCATCACAAAAATAAGTTATATTTTAAAATATATTGCAGTGATAAAGTCAAATATTTCACAATTGAATATTATTATCCAACAATAACAAAACCGATTGGTTAAAAAATTTATGCTTATCTTTTTTTTTCCCGTGTCAATATATAGCTTTAGCTTGCTTGAATGTTTCCCCCCCTTTCCTTTCATTTTTTCCCCCTTCTCGAGCTCAAAAGTGTTTTGTTGTATGATTTGGAACTGGAATATCAAGCCCATAAAAACCATATCAATACATTCCAGATTTTTCATTTGTGTTAACTCAACCCGGCCTTTTACAAAACACTGCCATGGCTGCGGGACGCTGGATTGTACTCTGTTCTGAATGTTTTTATACCCTGAACTTTACGAATGAAATTAATATCACTTCCAGTGAAAACTGCTGTAGTTAAAACTGCCATGAGGAGGTCCATCCGGTTTTAGAAGAGGAACAAAAACATGAGCATATCATCTTCATCGATTGAATTTTGGCTGAATAGGTCATTAAACAAACCAGATATATCTTCGTTTTTTTGTATTAACGCTTTTGCAGTGTCGTGCTCATAATTGTGCTGAATGTACCAAAGGTTTAGGGCTGCCGTAGACTGTCCAATCACTTTTTCTACACCATTTATTTGATTAAAAAAGAGAAAATCTTCTTAAAATATATACAATTGATCACTCAGTTTTTCCTTTTTCACTGTACTGTTTTACACTGCCTGTTTTAAACACTAAAAAGCTGTAAGATGTGGCCACAGCTCTGATTTTTTGTTGTGAAAAATGGAAGTGTACATACGTATGGTTTATATGGTGTGGAATAGTTCAGCCAGAATTGAAATGTCGGATTGAATTTCTTGCGAGATCATTTCTTATAAGAAAGACAGTTATGTGCATCTCACCAACTGAGTGAACGATGTCAGAATGTCTTTATTTTGGTGAACTGCCTCTTTAAATGTGTCCAGCCTCTCTGAAGTGCAGACTGAGGTCAGACTTGACTTTCTTTCGCTTTTGCACTGTTCATGTGCTCTAAAACGAGCGGCTGCTGGTTGAATGACAGCTTTCAGGGCTCCACCTTTGAGTTTTTCCTCTGTTTCAGCACAGATGATTGTATAAAGTTGTTTATCTCACAGAAAATGACTCCGGGTCTTCATTTCTGAAATGGGTTATTAATGTTTTTGGTGTTGTTTTGATTAATGTATATTCATATCATGTAAATTAATGTATATTCAATTATTATATATACAGTTGAAGTCAGAATTGTTAGCCTGGCTGTTTATTTATTTTTTCTTCCCCAATTTCTGTTTAACGGAGAGAAGATTTTGTCAACACATTTGTAATCATAATAGTTTTAATAACTCGTCTCTAATAACTGATTTATTTTATCTTTGCCATGATGACAGTAAATAATATTTTATTAGATATTTTTCAAGACACTTCTATACAGCTTAAAGTAACTGGGTTAATTAGGGTAGCTAGACAGGTTATTGTAATTGTATAACTATGTTTTGTTCTGTAGACTAGCGAAAAAAATATAGCTTAAAGCAGGGGTCACCAATCTTGGTCCTGGAGGGCCGGTGTCCCTGCAGGGTTTAGCTCCAACTTGCTTCAACACACCTGCCTGGGTGATTCAAGTATACCAAGTAAGAGATTGATTAGCTTGTTCAGGTGTGTTTGATTAGGGCTGGAGCTAAAATCTGCTGGACACCGGCCCTCCAGGAACAAGTTTGGTGACCACTGGCTTAAAGGAACTAATAATTTTGACCTTAAAATGGGATTTAAAAAATTTAAAACTGCTTTTATTCTTGCTGAAATAAAACAAATAAGACTTTCTCCAGAAGAAAAAATATTATGAGATACTGTGAAAATTTCCTTGCTCTGATAAACATCATTTGGGAAATATTTAAAAAAGAAAAAAATAATCAAAGGGGGGCTAATAATTCTGACTTCAACTGTATCTGTCTGTCTGTCTGTCTATCTCGAGTACACTGTATATATGAAGAGTGTAGATGCAAAAACCTCTAAAAGCCATTTGATGTTCTTCTAAAATTAGCATTTTTCTCCTGCACACACTTGCATTGAATAAAAAAATATAAACTGTAAGATATTTTAATTTAATAGGAATCATTTATTGACAGCCTCACAGTATTATAATATCAATTTGAACATTAAAAATGTTAATAGTTATATATTTTTCATTTTTTCCATTGTCAGCATTTTTTATTTAAAATATCCAAAAATTTTGTATGATGACTGATCATATTCTATATTTACAAATATATAAGATCTTATATCTACAATATCTACAAAAGTACTTTTTTTTTCCTTTTAATATTATGCCGTATGATGATGGAACATAAATTTACCATTTCGACATTTTATTTTTACAAAAGCTTTCAGAAATTATAGACACTTTCAACTCATATGCAATATTTATCTTAGGCTAATATGCAATTTCATGTTTGTCACTTCAGTCAATTTAG